AGTTGCACCAACAAATCCTAAATTTCCCCATTTAAAAAATATTTAAGTGGCGACTCTGTATCTGGCAAAGCAGTCCATGTTTGGCACTACTTTTTCAAAAATCTGTTTCTCAAAACGATTTGCCAGATTTGGACTCTTTGGTTCAGATTTAGAACCGTGATACAAATCGAGAGTCTGAACTGTAGCGAGGGTCCCTCGCGGACTTGTTACAGTTTCTGGCGACTCTGCTGGGGACTTTAGAGAGCTTGACTCGAACTCGTGATATCCTGTTTTGATTTCACTTATGTGTTTCTTTGCATTGCATGTGCATTGGTGCGCCTAGGACACCGTGTTTGCCATCTGCCATTCCTGAACGGTTTGCTGGAGGCTTGTCTTGTCAAGGCATGACCATAAGGCTGATCGGTTATGGGCTCTGACAGCATGGGAACACAAACCCCGGTTTTACTGGGGCACCCTTTTTGACCATTCGACCTAGTGCATATTCAGAATCCATAGTGACCATTCCAAGCTAGGACAGGTTGCTTACCCGATTATAGGTTGTTTAATGCTGGCCTTAGTAATGGCTTCAAAGAAGCTGAACCATTACTTTCAAGCGCACAAGATTATAGTGCTAACAGAGCACCCACTAAAGTTCTTGTTACAACAAGGAGACTTAACTGGAAGAATAGCAAGATGGGCAGTGGCCTTGGGCCAGTACGACCTGGAGTTCGGGCCGAGAACAGCAATTAAAGGCCAAGTTTTGGCCGACTTCGTGGCCGAATTCATGTCAGAATCCATCGAACATCGGGCTCCGTTGAGCCAAGATGAACGATGTCCAAGCAAACAAGGAGAAGCCCAGCCAAAGGCAAAAGAACAAGGAAAAGAAAAACTCAGACCCTGCAGCATTTACATTGGCGACTCCTTTCGCCTGTTTGTCGATGGGAGCTCAAACCGACAAGGAGCGGGGGCAGGAGTAGTGTTAATATCTCCTGATGGGGAGATATTAGAACAGTCTATTCGATTAGGATTCAAGGCCTCAAACAATGAGGCAGAATACGAAGCATTGATTGCAGGACTAAAGCTGGCAGTGGCAGCAGAAGCAGATGAGGTAATAATTTTTTGTGATTCACAACTTATAGTGAATCAGATAACAGAAGAGTTTGCAACCCGAGATGAAAGGATGTCGGCATACGCAAAGGAAGTCATCAGGCTGGCAGCCTTGTTTCGCAACTGCCGACTTCTGCAAGTTAACCGAGATGATAACAGCCACGCCGATGCATTGGCCAACTCGGCAAGTTCAATACAAACTGGAAAAACAAGGAGAATAATGGTTGACTATTTGTCAAACCCGAGCATAGAACCACCGATCACAGAACAAGAAACAATGTGTGTGGACTTGGGACTAAGCTGGATGGATACGATTGTTGCATTCCTAAAAGAGAGAAAGCTGCCAGAAGACCATAAGGAAGCACACAAGGTCAGATTGAAGTCGGCAAGATTCAATCTGACAACGGACGGACATCTCTACAGAAGGTCCTTCACTGGACCCCTTTTAAGGTGCATACACCCTTTGCAGGTTGAAGATTTTCTATATGAAATTCATGAAGGGATTTGTAGAAGCCACGTTGGAGGCAGATCACTAGCTCACAGGGCCATTACCTAGGGGTATTGGCGGCCCTACATGTAAAAAGATGCAGAAGCCTACGTGAAGAAGTGTGAACAATGCCAAAGGTTCGCACATTTGATACACCAGCCAACTGCTGACCTGAACCCTGTATCCAGTCCATGGCCATTTGCCCAATGGGGCATGAATCTCATTGGGCAGTTGCCCCAAGCAACTGGGCAAAGGAAGTATTTGCTGGTAGCAACAGATTACTTCACGAAATGGATAGAAGCAGAACCTCTTGCCAAAATTCGAGATGTAGACATCAAGAACTTCATATGGAGAAACATCATCACCAGATTTGGCATTCCAAAAGCAATAGTTGCTGATAACGGAACGCAGTTTGACAGCAAACTCATCAAGAACTTCTATGCGAAATTCAAGATAAAGAATTACTTTTCAACACCAAGTTTTCCCCAAAGCAATGGGCAAGCAGAAGCATCCAACAAAGTAATTTTGGATGGGATAAAGAAGAGGCTGCAGGCAGCAAAAGGAAAGTGGGTAGACGAGTTGTCCAATGTACTCTGGGCATATCGGACTATGCCGAGAAGATCAACAGGGGAAACCCCATTTGCCATGGCTTACGGCACAGAAGCAGTCATCCCACTGGAGATCGGCATCCCAAGGATCAGAACCCAGGGAGTAGAGAATGGGATTAACGACACACTTCTAGCCCGAGATCTAGATCTCTTAGAAGAAAGAAGAGAGAAAGCTGCAATTCAGCTCGCAGCATACCAGCAGTAGCTTACTAAAGCTTACAATAAGAAGATCAATCCAAGGGATTTTCAGGTCGGCGACCTGGTCCTAAGAAAAGTTGTTGGCAACAAGAAGGATCCCAGGCAGGGCAAGCTTGGCCCAAACTGGGAAGGACCCTACAGAATTATTTCGGTATTAGGCAATGGAGCATACCGGCTTGAAGATAGTGAGGGCAAAGCATTGCCAAGACCCTGGAACACTTGTAATTTGAAATTTTTCTATCATTAGATGTTCCTTGTTATTTTTTGCCGACGTCATCAATAAAATATTAGCAGAATTCTCAAAGACTTGTGAATTGATTAAAGATGCATACTGTTGTTTCTAAATAATGAGAACCTAAGTAGAACTCAGGTTCACATTGGAGGCAGAGACAAGACAAAATGGTTTATCTTCACTTGTTGAAATTTGTAGCAATTTACAAGTTGAAGTTAAATCGAAGTAATGCTTAACGCTTGTTGAAATTTGTAGCAATTTACAAGTTGAAGTTAAACCGAAGTAATGCTTAACGCTTGTTGAAATTTGTAGCAATTTATAAGCTGAAGTTAAGCCGAGATTATTGTCACTTATTGAAATTTGTAGCAATTTATAAGTTGAAGTTAAGCCGAGATTATTGTTTATCTTCAATTGTTGAAATTTATAGCAATTTACAAGTTGAAGTTAAATCGAAGTAATGCTTAACGCTTGTTGAAATTTGTAGCAATTTACAAGTTGAAGTTAAACCGAAGTAATGCTTAACGCTTGTTGAAATTTGTAGCAATTTACAAGTTGAAATTAAGCCAAGATTATTGTTTATCTTCACTTATTGAAATTGATGGACAATTTACAAGTTAAGTTAAGCCAGTATGATGATTCAATATCTGTTAAAAGTTTACAAGAAATTTGTCTTTCCGAGGTGTGTCACCTCGAGAAGATTGTACAAAGAGGGAAAAGTATGTGAAAGACATGCAGAATATTCTAAGTATAGAATCATACAGAAGCAATAGAGAGAAGACAAGAGTACAAGCATTCAGAAAAGAAAAGTTGTATTAGCATTCAACAAGAAAAGGGCACATCGGCCACACAAAAGGCTTATATTGTTCCAAAAAATAAAGAAGAAACAAAATGCAATTAAACAAAAGAAAAAGCTAAGACTCCTCTCCATCAGTTGGTTGAATTTGAAGATCAGATGATTGTTGAGAAGACATCTTAGCAACCTTATCCGTCGTGACCTCAGCGTCAATTTCTGCAAGAGTGTCTTCAAGGTTTTTATCAGCAAGGATGGCATCGGCTGATTCCTTCTCATCAGCAGTATATTTGTTAACCTCACCGCCTTCTTCATCCTGAGTCAAGTCTAGGACTTGCTCATTTTGAAGAGGGGACTTGGCAACATCTTTGGATTTCCTTACCAACGCCTCATCCTCTTCCTCATCACCATCCTCAGACTCAGACTCGTCGACGTCTTGACTTGGAGGTTGAGCTGGAGGGAATGGAAGAGGAATGGCATCATCTTTCCTCAATGGTGAGTCCTCTGGGACATTAAGTTTCTTTAAAAGGGACATCCAACCAAGGGTGAAACCCTTGTTGCATGCCTCATTCACCTACTGTTCATAGGCCTCAGTAACATCGGCCATGCCTTGGGCATACGCCTTCTCGTCGGCATCTTTTATTTCAGCTTCTTTGGTGGCCAGGCCTCTTGAAGCTCCTTTTCGGCCTGGGCCATTTTTTCCTCAACTTCTCTCTTCTAAGACTCAGCCAATTTCCTGATGGCTTCAGCAGCCTCAGCCTTCTCTTCGGCATTGGTCTGAGCTTTTATTGCGGCCTCGGCTTAGTCCTCTAGTTTTTTCATCTTTGATTGAAGACCTTTGTTGGTCTTTTGGAGGAAAGAGAACTCCCTCTTCATCTCGACAAGTCTTCCGATTCTCAAAAGACTGCATTGAGAAAGAGTGGGCATGCTGGATGGCCTGAAAGAAAGCAGAGGTATTAGAGAATGTTCAAAGTACAAAATAAAAAGAAAGAAAGAAGAGAATTACCAAACAGAAGACATCTACCTGAACGGAGTGCTGAAGCTTCAGAGCGTAATTCTCATACTCACTGTACTGGGCGTTTCGCTCCAAATCGCCTAGTAACAGCAGAGCAGTGCTGAGCGCAACGCCGACGTTTATATCCTCGGCACTATCACGTGCCATAACAGGCTTGCCTTCCAGAGTAATTAAGGGGGCCCATGGGGCATCAGGTTTTTTTGATCCCGAGGTTGTGGCAGAGGAAGACCTTGGCTTTTTTGGGTTTTGGGATTCTGATGGTTGAGACTCAGAGCGCCTCTTCCCAGCAGAAGGCTGAGATTTATCACTCTCAGCCAACTTTGAGATCGGCAAGGTGTCTTCAGATTTAACCTGAGTTATCTTAGCCTTTGGTTGAGCCTTCTTTATTCTTTTCGGCTTCGGTGGAGGTTGGTTTTGTGTTGGCTGCTCATCAACAGATGATGGAATACTAGCCAGAAGATCTTTTGCAACAGGCTTAGGGCGACCCATCTCGGTAGTAAGGACAAGACGTCGCCGATGTTTTCTTTCTAATATTGGGACCAGGTATGGAGCCGAAGTTGATGGCTGATCAGCTGGATCAGATGTTGATCCTCGATCTGTTCGTAATGTGGATGCAGTCAACAGAGTTATAGCAGAGGGCGGAGAAAGGCTTTTCTTCTTCCTTTTGGGAACGTCGGGCAAAGTTGACTTGTATGATGGAATAAAATTGAGAAGCACAGGCGCTTTCCTTTTATGGACTGGCAAGTCCAGAAGTTTCTTCAAATCCTTGCTGGGAACAAAGGATTGGCGAAAATTTTTCGGTGGCTGACGAATAGCTGCAAGAAAAACAGACGTCAAAAACTGACAAAGTATTTAAGACTTTGAAAGAAAACAGGCAAAGCTGAATACTGGGTTCTTACCTTTGTCCTCTAAAACTAATCGGAGAAGATGGTAGAGATGGATGTCCTCGTCTGGAGCAAACTCCCAATTTCCCGAGGTAATGAGATAGTCATCTCCAGCCCCCTTGTTGAAGTCTGGGAGGTCGGCTACGATTTTGAATTCTGTAGACCTCGGCTTAAGGTAATAAATGTAGCCTTTTTCTTTCAAATTAAGGGCACACATGGTATAGCAATACTGGATATCGGCTAGGGTGATCCTAGCATTTTCCTGTTTAGCTAAAGCTATGATGCCATTGATCACTCGGTAGGAATTGATTGCCAGTTGCATGGGGTTCAACTTATTATAATGAAGAATCTCACGAAAAAGGATGTTGAGTGAGAGCCAAAGTCTGCACTCAGTGAAAGCTATAATGGGAAAAGGCATCGAATCATCTGTAGGCATGATGGAGTCGTTATCTCCAGCCAGCCTCAGATGGACATCGGCAGGGATAGAAAATTCTTGCCTAAAATACTCAAGTTTGGTCGAGGTATCTACCCTATGTCTTCACATACCTATGATATCGGCCTGAATTAGAGGGGTTGGATTTCAGAGAAAAAACTGTCACGAGAGGGTTAATAAGACCTCGGCAAAAATTTAGGTACAGTACTAGTTTCAGTTTTTTCCTAAATCATGGGTTCTACACAACAAATCCCAAACCTAGATCTATGAAAGCAAGGGTTGAAGGCACGGATCTGGAAGACAGAAAGTCAAAGACGTGCTTTAGAATCAAGAACAGGAATGGGCTATCAAGAGCTTAAAGAATACGAGAAATAAATGGTCAAGAATAGTAACAAGAGTGTAAGAAAGTGGTGAACAGTATGTATTCAAGATATGGGCAAAATCAAAACCATTTGAATATATATGTTCAGATATGTGATTCGCAAGATTTGAAACAATAATGGCAACAAGAAATAAAGAATATCAACAGAATTGAAAACAAAAGGAATAGTGGCTTACCAGAAAAAAGTGAAGCCGGTATGAAGATTGCCGAAGTCAGTCGACAGTAACGGATGCAATGAGAACGACGAAAGCTTCACAGGAAGGGAGAACGGAAGGCAGTTGCAGAGCTTGAAAACTGGAACAATGGCGTATCCGGAAGCTAGAGAGAGAAAAAGCGAAGAGAAATCGAATACAAAAGTGAAAAATGAAGAAAGGGGGAAAGGTTTTTGTTAAAAATTTGAAACGGCAGCAAAAACGTAATCAATATGCCTAAAAGAACGTATGCGTCAGACGGCGCACGTGAGAGAGAGACGGCTTGCAAGTGCGTCATGAGCACGGTTCAGTAAGGTGGAGACGCCTGAATAAAACGGTTGGGTAAATGATACGTGACAACTCACACGCGTGAAAAAATTCACTGGAATTCTTGTGTGCTGAAGAAAACATGTCGGCCATAAAATGATCTCGGCTGAGGAATTCTTGAGCCGATGTACAGAAGGAAGTACCGATATAGGTTCCATCACCTCAGAATGCCGAGGTAATAGAACCTATGAGGCAGTTGTGGGGATATATTTCTAAGTACCAACACGTGGCAAGGCGACGTCGATGTGTCAGCCGAGGGGCCACGTGTCCTGGTCATTATGCCGAGATTATCTTGGCGTTGCCGAAGTTATTTCTGAAGATATCGGAATCCGAGATAAATGGATAAGGGACAAGAGCCCTAGAATAAAGAGGAGACTTAGTCAAGATGAGGATAAATCTCTTAGGGAGTTTATCTTTATCTCTTGAGGAGTCCAAAGTAAGTACTGAATTGGAGTCCATAGAAGTGAGGCTTCTAGTGGAACTAGGATTAAGTAAACTATAAAAGAGAGGCACCCCCGTGGGTCTAAGGTATGCAATTTATGCTTTGAGTAGTGAGTTTAGCACTTGATTTATCTTTGAGAAATATACTGACTTGATCATCGGAGTACCCCCGGGTGGAAGAGCCACCGCCGGAGCCTTCTCTTTCTGTTACAGGTTAACTGAAGCCATCTATTCTGCCGGTGCTCTCTAGCTGATTACTAAACGGGCAGTGTGACCAGAAAATCACTCACACAATATATTACTTGTTTTTTTCACCATTTTGAATAATTGAATTGCATGGTAATAAATTATCAGTTGTCATTAATTGTGAAATAATTATATGTCGTATAAGAGGTAATATTAAACAGTAACAAAATATCAGTGATATATAACATTTCTCTACTATAATATTTATAAGAATTTTTTTTAGCATAATTAAACATTTAAAGTGACAAATTAAACATTTTTTTATAAAAAAAAAAAAAAGAAAGAAAGAAAATAGTGATATAAAAATTTCAAGATATTATTTTAAAAGATTAAATTGAAATATATATTTTTATTAGAGACAAAAGAATAATTTTCCAAAAGTTGAGAGGGCACGTGACCCCTCTAGACCTCGCGTGCCTCCGGCCCTGGTACCAATACTGATACTAAAACTCCCATTTCAAGACTTCAACGCTTCAACACTTATAAACGCTAACAAACATGGTGAACAGAGACCTTACATATAATGCATGCACCATCATGCTCATGAACTTCACTGATCAACGTAGTATTGTATTTTATACCGACACTAAAGCTTTCCAAAATATTCCCAAACACATCAATCCTCAGTCCTACAGGCAACATAGGCTGCTGATTTTGAATGTTGGCTGCAACCCAAAATTCTCCTAGTATAGTCCTTTTAATGTTGTCTGGATTTCCAGGCAAGTATGTTAGAATTTCAGCCGAGTTGGCTTTGGGACCTTTGACCCAAAACCTTCGAATTCGACTCGTGATCAGCTCTGTGACTAGGATGACTGCCCCGTCTTTGCTCACGGCCACACCGATTGCTCCAGAGAGGCCTGTTAGCAAAACTGTTACTTGATTGGTTTTGGGATCGTATTTCAGCAATCGCGCACTTGTGTCGCCACTCTGGATAATTTTTGCGACGTTTCTGAAAGATTGGTGCCAATAATTATCCATATGCATTTAGTGTATCTAGTGATACAAAATTCATTTATATATAAAATTTCTCTTTTTCAGTATATTGTCAATTGTATGACAAATATAGAAGGATAAAATGCACGGTCTTAAAATGTATTTCATGTGCCACTTGGTCCTCCAATATTTTATTTTGTTGATTTTGTCCTTAAAATTTTTAGTTAAATTTTGTTCCAATTTTAGATGGTTGTCTAAATCATTAACAAAACTAATAATAATAAAATTCACCTATGGTCCTTAAAATATGCATTCTGTGTCACTTTTGTCCTCAAAATATTCAATTTTCTCAATTTCGTTCATAAAAACTATTTATGAACAAAATTTTAAAAAATTAAAGACTTCAAAATCAAATGCATATTTTAGAGACTTATATTTAATAATCATTTCATTAGTAATTTAGATAACACATTTACAATTGGAGTAATTTGGTTCAAATTTAAAGATAAAATTGATTAAAATTAAACTTGAATAATCAACTGACACAAAACATATATAAAAACAACAATGATTTAGACCACTAAAAAATACATCACTAATAGCACTAATGTATTGGGAATGGCAAAAAAAATTAAAAAAAATAAAAACAAGGCATAGAAAGTGGCCGGGGCCCACTGCCACATCATTAGTGCTCCCTTTAGTGATCCCTTTTTAGTGCTCCCAAGCATTTTTCATATAAAAAAGTAAAGAAAAATGGAACATGGATATGAAAAGAGTACCCAAGTCGAAACACAGCACTGGCATCTGTAAAATAGACAATTTTGGATACCGGGTCAACATCCAAAGCATCAAGAAAGGCAAAGGGCATTCGTTTGACACCGGTGGCAAGTTGTGTTGCTAGTCCTCCACCAGCTCCGACCGCCAATAAGCCAAAGTAAGGGTCAACGATGTAGAGCTCACCAGTCATATCGTTGAAACCCAGGCCTAATGGCCTTCCACATATTGATTCTAAGTTCTGGTCATTTGTGCCATCACACAATTCCTTTGTCCTGAGAACAACAGTCATGAGTGCAACAAATAGTCAAAAATACATTGTACTTCTAATTTTAACAAAAGGGCCACTGTGGAGCTTTTGCGACAATAATTTACTGACACAAAAAGATTGCATATTTGTGACAGCGTAAGCATCCCAACACGTTGGAATAACTTAATTTTTCTCTCTAGCAGCGTAAATTTTTATATGAGTTTGTGGTCAATTATTTCACATAGGGTTTGAGCCATCACAAACAATATAGTCGCCCAAAAAAATGTGCAGCAATTTTTGTAATTGCGAAAAGGCAGTTATTGCGATGGAAAAAAGTGTCAACGCTAATATCCTCAACACAAAATATCATTTTTCTAGTAGTGAGTACATGGTACTTTTAAGGCCAGTCATGAGTTTTTGAGAGCCTAAGGCAAAATAAAAACGGAAGCCTATATTCAAAAAGAAATAAAATCACCTTATTTCGTATCACTACCGTCGATTGATACCAAAATAGATATCAAAATGTATTCATACAAAAAAAAAAAAGTTACCAAAATTAGGAAAACTTTAATCAATTAAAATGTATATTGGATATGAGAGGGTGATTTATGATCTAGAGTTGGGCCGAGGTAGCGACCGAGCAGGTTGAGAGCCTAGTAGCGCATGGGGCCGAGATGATCGATTATTCGCCCAGAGATGGGCTGCCAGAACTTGGGCCGGGCAGAACTTGGGCCGAGTGCGTCCCGCCCCAGGCCGTAAAGAAGCGGCTCTGCAAGGCAGTGCTCGGTCGGACCGGGATGCTCGGTCCGAGGATAGCCGAAGCCAGACAAGCCGAGTGACCGGCGCCCGGAAAGGCGTGGTCAGCCGAGGTTACCGTTTGACCGGCAGGAAAGCTGACCACAGGGGATGCTTCGAGCTAGGCTTTGCCGAGATGCCGCCTAGCCCGGTCCTCCTTGGTCTTTGCCAGGGAGGTGCTTGGGTATGAAGCACGGCACGGCGTAGCAACGCATAGAGCAGTTCGGCTGCCGAGCTCCAGCTGTGATGGCGGGCAGTTGAGATTAGGTGATGTTCAGCAAGGTCTATGCTGACAGATGGGATAAGCGGAGCCACATGTCAGGAGATGACTGGGAGTAGATATGGGGCACAGAGGATATATAAGCATGTCTGCGCCCCCCATACGCGACGGATGAACATTTTGTAAGGATTTTCTTACACTAAAACACCTCCCTCTCTCTCTCTCTCTATCCTAAGGTGTGTGCTAACTTGATTGTCGGAGGGTTTTTCCGGCCACACACCGCCGGGTAGCTCACCCATACTTGTGCGCAGGTGATCGGACGTAAACGGAGCTTAGAAGAAAGGAGTACGGGCTTGCCGGAATATTTGCTCCCCGTACAATTGGCGCCGTCTGTGGGAAACTTGACAGACAAAACCTTGTCTTCCAGGTTCATCTGATCGCCGTCCATGGCGAACAACGATGAGTTTCCGTTGTCTGCCATAGATGGAGCTACCCCAGAGTTCACCCGAAGGAGAGAAGGCCCTCTCGCCATCCATCCAATGGCGGACTTGGGGACGCCCACTGGAGGACAGTCAAGAGACGCGCGGGACAAGCGCGGAAGAAGTCACGGACATTCACGGAGTCCAGACGGTCACCGGCGGAGGAGAGACTCACACGCTAGGCGACTGGAAAGTAAGTTGAGAGATCAAGATGCTGTCATCCGGCGAATGGCGGCGGAGATGGAAGATCTCAAGCGGCATGTCAAAGGGAAGGGTGTAGTTGGAGCGGGAGACCACAGTGAGCGCACCCCATCTCGCCGTTCAGGCGGTCAGAGTCAGCGACGTACTCAGTCCATATCCATTACCAGAAGTTACCAGGTTGGTGATTCCGACGTAGGTGCAGAGAAGTCTAGCGCGCAAGACAGCACCTACAAACCCTCACGTCCGGAGACGATGTCGAGGTACTCTTACTCTGCTCAGTCAGAGGATTTACGGGCGGTCTTAAAGGAGCGGGCTCGCCGGCGCGAAGCTCAGAGAATACCTGCCTTCCAGCGGCTATCGTACGGGGTTCACGCCAGCGAGGAGGTCGGAATGCCTCCACCCCGCCAAGCAGTGCCAATTTTCGAAGATACAGACTTGGCTAGGCTGAGTGCCACCCCTTTTTCCCTGGATATAGAAACAACACCGCTTCCGGCAGGCTTCCACCAGCCTAAGTTCACACTTTACGACGGAAAAACCGATCCATACATGCATGTGAGCCACTTCCGACAGGTTATGGCCAGACATAGGCGCAATGACGGACTTATGTGCCTAATCTTCCCGTCAAGTTTAGGCGAGCTGGGCTTAAAGTGGTTCGAGAGATTGCCGGAAGGGAGCATACAAAGGTGGCATCAGTTGGCCGAGGCGTTTGTTACACGCTTCAAAACCAACATAAAGACACCAAATGAAGTCGATCATTTGCTAAGTGTCAAGATGGAACCGAGCGACACACTGAAGGTATACAACTCAAGGTACTGGGAAACCTTCAACGAGATCTTGGATTGCCCGGTCAACCTTGCAGTCACGCAATACAAGCGTGGTCTCCCGGTCGGACATAGGCTGCGGGACTCGCTTACCATGCACCAGCCGACCTCTATGGGCCAGCTCATGCAGAGCATCAATGAGCACATCCGAGTAGAGGATGACGCGTCAGCCTCTACCGTGAAGGCCACTCCGGTAGCAACAGACAAGAAGACAGCAGGCAAAGTGCACGCAGTTGGGCAAGAGTCCAGCCGCTCAAGTGACCGAGCAGAGGAATCGGACCGTGGTTCGAATCGTAAGAACCGGGGTAGAGGACGTCGGAATGACCGGGATGACTACCCCCGAGATGATGTAGCGGACGCAAACAGAAGGATGAAGGCAAGGACTGGCATAACCACGGTCTTCAAGATTCCAATCTATCGCATACTTAGTGAAATCCGAGACGAGGAGTATGTCCGGTTTCCTGCTAAGTTGGGCGATGGACAAAAAGGCTATAATCCGCGGTATCGTTGCACGTTCCACTGGGAGAGAGGCCACCAGACTGAGGATTGTTTGCCTTTGCGGCAACACTTGGAAGAGCTGGTTGCGGCCGGGCATCTAGACCTTTACATTGATGGCGGCGTGAAGCCGAATCAGGCTCCGGTCGATCCCAGGGGACATGATGACCGAGATGCACCACCACAAGGAGTTATTAATGTCATCCACGGCATCGTGGAATCGGAGCGTGTCTGCGAACTCTGGGGCATGATAAAAAAAGACAGAGCATATGAGGGAAGTTTTGTCGGTACAGCCTGCCATCAAAAGGGGGAAGACTGAAGAAAAAGACGTGATTAGTTTCACCTCAAGGGATCTAGAGCGTATCCAGACGCCGCACAACGATGCCCTAGTAGTAACACTACGCGTCAAGGACTTTGATGTTAAGCGGATCTTGATCGATCAGGGAAGCTCGGTCGAGATCATGTACTATGATGCGTTTAAGCAGCTTAAACTCCGGGAGACAGACTTGGCTCCGGCAACTTCGCCACTGGTTGGATTCAACTCACAACCAGAGTGGCCTTTGGGAAAGATTATCCTGCCGGTCAAAGCGGGATCCGTGGTCAAACAAGTTGAGTTTTGGGTGCTGCAAGTGCCTTCGACGTACAACCTTATCCTTGGAAGGGGATGGCTACACACCATGCAAGTCGTGGCATCAACTTTTCACCAAGTAATGAGATTCCCCTCGGCTATGGGGGTAATCGAGGAGATTTGGGGCGATCAGGTCATGTCCAAGCAGTGCTTCGTGGCGGTCAACGGGAGCCGGGCTGCCAAAGGATTCGTTCAAATGATTGAGGGACCTAACTAACTCAATTGATAATCAGAATTGGTTCTACAAAGTTTAAAATTTAAGATTTTTTTTTTCAATTTAAAAAAAAAATTAGAAATCGATTTAGCAAAAATAATCATATGCAAAAGAAATATTTTGAAAATTTTAAAATAATTTTAGTCTCAAAAAGATAAAATCATATAAATTAACAAATTTTTTTTTTTGTATTCTTTTTGTAAATAAATTTGGAAAATTCTATCAAAGAGTAAATAAGGGTTAGAGAGGACCGAGATGATTGAGTTTTTGATGGCGAATATCGAAGTCTTTGCATGGTCACCTTACGACATGCCTGGCCTCGATCCAAGTTTTATCTGTCATCACCTCAACGTCTTCCCTGGAGCAAAGCCAGTCATCCAGTGAACAAGGAGATCGGCACTACATCACGCCGAGGTAGTTGCAGAGGAGGTGAAGAACCTGCTTGAAGCACGAGCAATCCAGGAAGTGCACTACCCTCGGTGGATTTCTAACACAGTTGTGGTGCCGAAGAAGAATGAAAAGTGGCGAGTTTGTGTCGACTATAAGACGGTCAACCGAGCTTGCCCAAAAGATAGTTTCCCTTTGCCGCGCATTGACCAGCTAGTGGACTTGACGGCTGGACACAATAGGCTCAGTTTCTTGGATGCGTACCGCGGCTATCACCAGATCGCCATGCATGGGCCTGACCGAGAGATCACCTCTTTCACGACTCCAAGGGGAATCTTCTGCTACCGAGTCATGCATTTTGGTTTGAAGAACGCCGGGGCAACCTTTCAGAGGATGGTGACCAAAATGTTTGCTCCTTTGCTTGGCCGGACAATGGAGGCTTACATCGATGATATGGTGGTAAAGAGCCGACATGAAGCAAACCATTTGTCCGACTTAGCCGAGATGTTTACCATTCTGAAGAAACACAAGCTGCGCTTGAAAGCGTCAAAGTGTGCCTTTGGCGTGGGATCCGAAAAATTTTTGGGGTTCCTAGTCACGAACCGAGGCATTGAAGCAGACCCTACCCAAATCAGAGCCGTACAGGAGTTGAAACAGCCGAGCTCGGCTAAGGACGTGCAGCATCTGGCCGGGATGGCCGCCGCGCTTAATCGGTTTATAAGCCGGTCATCAGATCGCTGCCGCCCTTTCTTTCAAGCATTGAAGTCAAAGTTCTCGTGGGACGC